ATACATACCTGGGGGGATGGGCTGAGTGAACAATGTACAGTTGTGTTCAAAATAATAGCAGTCAGACATCACTAACCTGATCAATCACTGTTTTTGGTAGAAATGATATTTCTACATGGCAAATAATTTACTAGCAGGTGTAGAAGAGTAATAGAAATACAACAGACCCAACAGTCATGACATGCATGCTGCTGATTCTGTGTAATTGAATCACTAATTGAAAGGGGCATGTTCAAAATAATAGCAGTGTGGAGTTCTATTAGTGAGGTCATTCAATCTTTGAAAAACAGGTGGCAATTATTGCCCTTCTTTAAGGAAGGAAGGCAGCAAATGCTGTACATGCTGGTTACAGTGCATTTCTCTCTGAGATTCTGAGGAAAATGGGTTGTTCCAGACATTGTTCAGAAGAACAGCGTACCTTGATTAAAAAGTTGATTTGAGAGGGAAAAACATATAAAGAAGTGCAGAAAATGATAGGCTGCTCAGCTAAAATGATAGCAAATGCTTTAAAATGGCAACCAAAACCTGAAAGATGTGGAAGAAAGCGAAAAACTACCATTCGAATGGATAGAAGAATAGCCAAAATGGCAAGGACTCAGCCAACAATCAGCTCCAGGAAGATCAAAGAAGGTGTAAAGTTACCTGTGAGTACTGTTACAATTAGAAGATGCCTATGTGAAGCCAAGCTATCTGCAGGAAGCCCCCGCAAAGTCCCACTGTTGAAAAAAAAGACATGTGCTGAAGAGGTTATAATTTGCCAAAGAGCACATTGACTGGCCTAAAGAGAAATGGCGCAACATTTTGTGGACTGATGAAAGTAAGATTGTTCTTTTTGGGTCTAATGGCCGGAGACAGTTTGCCAGACGACCCCCAAACACTGAATTCAAGCCACAGTACACTGTGAAGACAGTGAAGCATGGTTGCTCAAGCATCATGATATGGGGATGTTTCTCATACTACGGTGTTGGGCCTATTTATAGCATACCAGGGATCATGGATCAGTTTGAATACATCAGAATACTTGAAGAGGTCATGCTGCCTTATGCTGAAGAGGAAATGCCCTTGAAGTTGGTGTTCCAACAAGACAACGACCCCAAACACACCAGTAAACGTGCAACATCTTGGTTCCAGACCAACAAGATTGACGTTATGGAGTGGCCAGCCCAATTCCCGGATCTTAATCCAATAGAAAACTTGTGGGGTGACATCAAAAATGCAGTTTCTGAGGCAAAACCAAGAAATAGAGAAGAACTGTGGAATGTAGTCCAATCATCCTGGGCTGGAATACCTGTTCACAGGTGCCAGAAGTTGGTTGACTCCATGCAACACAGATGTACAGCAGTTCTCAGAAACAGTGCTTATACAACTAAATATTAATTAAGTGATTCAAAGGAAAGCAAAATCTTCAAACATTTTTCAGTTTATATAGTGAATGTTTGAGTTTGTAAAGAAGAATACAAATGTTGTTTTTTTTTTAAAGTCTAATATTCACTTTTCAATTTTTTAGAGGAACAACACAAATTTGATCTATTTTTCTTCATGTTTTGATTTAGAATAGAATGTGTCGTGTTCCCAATGCATTTGTGTCTATGGAAAGAAAAGCTATTAGAAGGATTTTGAGCTTTATTCACTTTTTTCAACACACTGCTATTATTTTGAACACAACTGTAAGCATCTCTTTAGCATGTGAAAACACATTTTATTATGCGACTGGAAACAATTACATTTGAACTAACTACAAATTTGCAAATGTCCTGCATTTAGGCCCCTTTCACACAGGCTTTTTTGTCCGTTTTTCAGCTGTCCTTTAGGGATGAAAAACAGACACCCATGTATTTCTATAGACAAGCAGATGTAAATAGATGATCATCTATTTACATCCGTTAATGTCCACATCCGTTAACATCCGTTTTTTTGAACGGAAGAAAACCCTATTTTTCTTCCGTAAAAAAAAAAAAAAAAAAACGTAATGGATGAAAAACTGATGTAAACGGATGAAAAACAGATGTAAATGTATGATCATCTATTTACATTCGTTAATGTCCGCATCCGTTAACCAGAACGGACAAAAAAATGTAAACAGACAAAAATGGATGTAAACGGATGAAAAATGGATGTAAAGGGACAAAAAAAGGATGAAAAGGGATGTAAACTGACAAACGGATGTAAATGGATGTAAACCGATGACAAACAGATGTAAACTTATGATCATCTATTTACATCCGTTAATGTCCACATCTGTTAACCAGAACGGACAAAAACGGATGTAAACGGATGAAAAATGGATGTAAAGGGAGAAAAAAAAAAGGATGAAAAGGGATGTAAACTGACAAAAAACGGATGTAAACGGATGTAAACCAATGAAAAACGTACATAAACTGATGAAAAACTGATGTGATCTGATGAAAAATTGATGTGAACTCATCCAATTTTTCTTGGAAAAACTGTAACTGAACTGATGAAAAAAATGAAACGCCTCTGTGAAAGGGGCCTTAGGGTAATTCACACCAGTGGATGGTTTGCGGTGGGATGACAGCAGCGCCAAGGCGCCAATTGCAGCAAATTGAACTTTTCACTTTTTTTTTTTTAAAACACATTTTAGTGAAATGTCACACAGCGCCATGCAGTGGGAGGCAGTGGGTTGCCTTGCACAGCACTGGAAAAACGTATTGCTTGCTGTACTTTTTTCAGTGGTGGTGAGAACTGGCTAGGTAGCATTTTGCACTGCCATGTGATGGAACTAGAAAATGAGGGCTCCAAAATATGAGCCCGACATCATGGACATGTGGATGCTATCCTTCTATATATAAAAAAAATAAAAATGTTTTCCTCAGAAATAGTAAAATTAGGTTAGGGCCCTTTAAGAGAAGAAGATAAGGAAAAGAGCGGGAAGAGGTGAAGCACGTGACCATGGAAAAGGTGGGAAAACCACGTGACTTAGAATATTTTGGAAAACTTGGGGCTCATTATATAAAGGCACTCCGTGACAGGGAATTTTGTAGTTGGTCAGAGCTGGCCAACGGGCTCCCCACCCTCCATCCCTTGTCGCAAGGCACTGTTTATGTGGTTTGTGTCACCTTTTCTATAGAGATAATTATTCCAGATAGATCGAGTCCTGAAAGACTGAGCAAGTTTATTCATGGTTGATAATAAAGTGTAAGATGTTTGAATAAATTATATTGCAAATTTAAGTTATGTTATGTGTAATACCAATAAAAGTGCCACGGCCAAAATTTTTGCCAAAAAAATAGAAATGTTGTGTGTGTGTCATCATTTGAGAATATATTAGTAAGGCCGGCCATACATGGGTCGAAATCCAACTGATTTTTCGTCCGACCCGAAAATCGGACCTAAGAATAATTGGCCAATTTTCGCTCTGTTAGTGGGTCAGTGGCACCAGTCGATTTTCGTGGTTCCTCCCCTTTTCGGTGATCGGGCATGTTGGAAAATTTGTGAAAAACAACTGATTTTCGACTCAATGATGGTCAAATCGTACGATCGTTTTTCTGAAAAAGCATATGCGCATGAGCCATGAACTGGAAGGAACAGAAGTTTTGCCTGTTATATGGGGTGAACTTTATGACTTGGTCGGCCGATTTTCAAAATCATTGATGGCACCATCGGATTACTGAGCAAACAACGTTTTCTTTTTTCGGACAAAAAAATAGTACTTAATTCGAACCATGTATGGCCTGCATAAATATAAGTATTCGGGGAAGAGGGATGAAGTGCGGCCTGTATTCTCATGCAGTGCGACTGGGCTGGAATAGCCACCCAATGCTGTCCTACTGCACCTGGTGTAAATCTACCCTTAAAGCGATCCTATCATGAGAGAAGTAAAAAGGGCTGTCATTACTGGCCTCATTCTGAAAATGCTAGAAGCCTGGCTGTGTATGACTTTGGTACTTTGGAGTTACAGACCAGGAACAAGTATGCAGTAAATGAGAGAAGGGATTAAAATCAGTCAACAAAGCGGTTCTGCTTCTACAATCTAAGCACAGAAAGTGTGATCTCTGTAACTGATCCAGTTGTGGTAGGTTAAACTATATGTACACCTGGATATTAAAAAACATTATACATACCTTTTCCCTCGACCCTGTGATCCCCCCTGTGATCACATACCCCCCCGTGATCACATATCCTGTAAGTTCTTTATGCATCTGAGAACAGAGAGCTGGGGGAGGAGACACTTCCCAGTGGATGGCTGTGCAAGGGGGGCATGTGAGCAGAAGTCTAATCAGTGGAGGAGAGCACACTGGGTTCCCAGCACAGCTAGAGAACTGACCACTCTGTACTCTCATGCCTGGTGTAGTCAGTTTTTAATAGGAAAGCAGAGGGACTGGCAGGAACACCAAGGATTTCACACAAACGAAGCAATACAAAGAGAATAGGATACTTTTTCATACAAGTACATGGTATAGCAGGCACATACCAGGAATATGAAATGTTGAGATTACATACTCATTATTTACAGTTTCAGCAGCTCGACAGATTAGACATGTGCAAAACGAAAAAATTGGATTCGTTTCGATTTGAAATCTAACAAATTTCAGGTAGTTAGTTTGGTAAATTTGTTCAATTCATTTTCGGGATTCGTTTCGGTAATTCAAATTCCATTTGAAAACATTTCGACGAAATTCAAAAAAAGTGGTTCACATTTGAAATCAGTTCAAGCAAGTTCAAAATTGATTCAACAAAATTTGATAAGTCGTTAGAAATAAAAAAGATTTAAACCAAATTAAAAAAAAATCAACTGGATTAAAAAAGTTAAGCTGGCCATACATGTGTAGATTTTCATCTGAGAATATTAACCACTTGCCAACCGCAGATAGCCAAACGACGACTACACTGCGGCCGCCAGTTCTGGGAGGGAGTCGTATGATGTCCTGCCAGAACGCGCTCTCCTGTGCGCACCCGGCGATCTCCTTGATCGCCATGTTCTACGGACACAGCTGATCACGTGATGTGGTAAAAGGCCAATCACAGAAACCTTTTACCACGTGATCAGCCGTGTCCAATGACACGCTGATCACCGGGAAATGCAATTGCCGGTTCTCGGCTGCACTTTCCTCACGCTGTCAGAGCGTGAGGAAAGTACTGCTGAGAACCGGCAGTTGTCAGAGCAGGGATCGACACCAATCATCAGGGCACTGATGATCAGTGCCTTGATGATCGGTGCCCAGCAGTGCCACCCACCACCAGTTCCGCCCACCTGTGCCCAGCAGTGCGCCCACCTGTGCCCAGCAGTACACCCACCTGTGACACCCAGCAGTGCCACCTACCTGTGCCCAGCAGTGCCACCCACCTGTGCCCACCCACATGTGCCCACCAGTGCCACCCACCTGTGCCACCCACCAGTGCCCATCAGTGCAGCCCAGTAGTGCTGCCAGTCAGTGCCCAGCAGTTGCACCAGTCAATGCCTAGCAGTGCCGCCAGTCAGTCCCCAGCAGTGATACCAGTCAGTGCCACCTATCCGTGACACCTCATTAGTGCTGCCTGTCAGTGCCGCCTATCCGCGCCACCTCATTAGTGCTGCCTATCAGTGCCGCCTATCAGTGTTGCCTATCAGTGCCCATCAGTGCTGCCTATCAGTGCCCATCAGTGCTGCCTCATCAACACACATCAGTGAAGGAGAAAAATTACCTGTTTGAAAATTTTTATAATAGAAACAAAGAAACTTTTTTTTTTTTCAAATGTTTTGCATTTTTTTGTTTATAGCGCAAAAAGTAAAGTGCCCAGCAGTGATTGAATACCACTAAAAGAAAGCTCTATTTGTGAGAAAAAAATTATAAAAATTTCATATGTGTACAATGTTGCATGACCGCGCAATTGTCAATCAAATTGCGACAGCGCTGAAAGCTGAAAGTTGGCCTGGTAAAGAAGGAGATATAAGTGCCCGGTAGGCAAGTGGTTAATTTCAAGAATATTCATTTGATTTTCTAACCGTTAGTGGGGTCAAATCAATGTTTGTTTTCGATGGCAATGACAGAAAAATTCGAAGGGGCAGGAAGGAAAACTTTTCTTGATCAAAAGAATTTTTGCCCAGTGTATGTGGTGATCGTTCAGAAATTACATTCATTTTAAAATCGATTGTTAAAAGCAAAAGACAATTTTTGAACGACATTCGTCCATTCATCAAATGTGAAAAGAATTTTCGTACTACTTTTCTTACGAATATTCTCGGCCAAAAATCTACATGTGTATGGCCAGCTTAATGCCCCTTACACACGATAAGAAAACCATACGAAAATTTTCGTATGAGGACCGATTGTCCGATAATCAGGTCGTTAGTACACAGCTTTTCATGACAATTCGTGCGACAATATCTGAAGGGTCAAACGCAAAATATTTTTTCTCATACGATACCAGATTTTCGTTTATTCAGTACAGTAGTCATCCAAAAATACAATACAAATACATGACATCACTTTAAAAAAACTTTTCTTTCGTATGAGAATTTTTATATATTTAGTAACCTTTTCACTTTTGATGTGAGACTAGCAGGTGAAAAAAACTGGACGATCATTTGTCCGATATTCTCATTGTGTGTATGGAGCTTAAGGCTGGCCATACACGTGTAGAATTTCAGCTGAGAATATACGTTTCAAGAATATTCATTGGATTTTCTAATCGTTAGGCTGGCCATACACATACACATTTTCATTCGAGAATTTTCTTTTCAAGAATATTCGTTTGATTTTCTAATAGCATTCTTATTTTGAAATTCGAGTTTACAGTGGAGTTCCAGTGAAAGTTAAAAAAAATAAATCAAAGTCAGCAGCTACAAAAACTTTGTGAATGGTCCTGTAGTCTTCTGGGATCTGTCACATGCCCCAGAAGACTACGGGGAGGGAGGGGTGAAGGACAACTTCCGCTTCCGATCGCCTAGGTCAGGGGTCTGCAACCTTTAAGACATAAAGAGCCACTTGGACCCGTTTCCGAGAGGGAAAAAAAGACTGGGAGCCGCAAAACCATTGCAACATTTAAAACAAATCCGACACTGCATATATTGCAAAAAACGCTCTGGTCATGAAGGGGGTTTAAGGGCCCAGTAAGCAAAGGGTTAATCAGGGCCACAGTGTATCGTCATAATCACAATCATAGCCTTAGGTCAATGGTGGGCAACCTTTTTTTTCGACTGAGCCAAATCTCGCCAAAACCACGATTGAAATTTATTTTGAGAGAATCATTTTTAAAACTGAAAATACATCCCCCATATAGTAATTCATCCCCCATATAGTAATTCATCCCCCCATAGTAATTCATCCCCCATAGTAATTCATCCCCCATAGTAATTCATCCCCCATAGTAATTCATCCCCCATATATTAATTCATCCCCCATAGTAATTCTCCCCCCTATAGTAATTCATCCCCCCTATAGTAATTCATCCCCCCTGTAGTAATTCATCCCCCATATAGTAATTCATTCCCCATATAGTAATTCATCCCCCTATAGTAATTCATCCCCCATATAGTAATTCATCCCCCATATAGTAATTCATCCCCCATAGTAATTCATCCCCCCTATAGTAATTCATCCCCCATATAGTAATTCATCCCCCATAGTAATTCATCCCCCCTATAGTAATTCATCCCCCCATATAGTAATTCATCCCCCATATAGTAATTCATCCCCCATAGTAATTCATCCCCCATAGTAATTCATCCCCCATATAGTAATTCATCCCCCATAGTAATTCATCCCCTCATAGTAATTCATCCCCCATAGTAATTCATAGTAATTCATCCCCCATATAGTAATTCATCCCCCATAGTAATTCATCCCCCCTATAGTAATTCATCCCCCCTATAGTAATTCATCCCCCATAGTAATTCATTCCCCATATTGTGTGAATTCACTTACCTTTGCTCCGCGCGTTCCTCTCGCTGGGTTCCCGCGCCGTTCTGGTCTTCAGGGCGGACTGTGAGAGGAGAGGAGTTCGTCACGCTGCCCCGCCTACATCCGGGCTGCCCCGCCTACATCCTGACAGCCAATGTTTGCCAGCGGGCGCCCGGCACACAGAAGATCTGCATTAAAAGAGCCGCGGCTTGCCGACCCTATTGCCTGTCACCTGGTGGGCAGTGTGCTCCGGAGCCGCAGGAAAGGTGAAAAAGAGCCGCATGCGGCTCCGGAGCCGCGGGTTGCCCACACCCGGCCTAGGTGATTGCAGAGAAAGTGGGAGCGGGTACCTGTCAATTTCAGGTACTTGCTCCCCCTTGCTCCCCAAAGGTGTCAATCCTTAACGGGGAGTGGGGGACTAGTCCTTAAAGTGGAACTTCCCCTTTTGGGTTGAGCTCCACTTTAAATTTGTTTTCGAATGTTTGTTCGATTTTGTTTTCGAATTTTAATTTGTTTTTTAACTTGTTTTCAAATTTGTTTTCGAATTGAATTTTGGTCAAATTTCATTTTGTTATTTCGGATTCATTTAAGTTCGTTATTTTTGTAATTTGAATTATTGATACATCCGAATCTCCGAATAACAAAAAGATTAGTTCAAAATTTGATTCAGAACAAAATGAACCGCACATGTCTTTGGCAGACGGTGACCGAAATTATATCTTTCAGATTGTAGAAAGCTTTAATCAAAGATTGTAGAAAGCTTTGGTTGTGTACATAAACAGATGAACAATCATTGTGTGTCTGGGGCCAGCAGAATGCAATGCATATGATGAATGGAAGCTAAGGCTAAGTCCTCATGCACACTGGATGTTTTTGGCTTTTGATGTTTTTTTTTCTACAGCTAGTAAACCCCCCAGCATGTTATCCTATGTGTACATGCACACATAGACTGTAATCAACGTTTTTTGGCTGGGATGTTTTTTGGCTGAAAAAACCCCCCCAGAACTAGGGGGTTTCTAGAGGAGTTTTTAGCTGTAAAAACGCTCTAACACTGAAAAAACGCAGCAAAATGCGGTAAATCATGGCAAACTAGAGAGTTTGTACTTTTTTTAACTAAAAAAAAACCTCTAAAAAATGCTAAAAACGCAAACGTGAAAATAAGCAGCAAAACACCTCTAAACGCTAATACAAAAACGCTGAAAAACACTTTTTTAAAGTGACTTTACACAACTAACGTTACCAGTGTTATTAAAGGCAAATTTGCCTTTATTACATTTTGTATCTGAATTTACAGAACATAACAGAAAAGAAACATGGACTGCATGTACATGTGATCAAACATAAATCTGGAGCATGGAGAAAATCCAAACAAATATTTATGACATACTATGCTCAACAGTGATATCAGGGACTCAAGGGCAGACATCAGAAAAATGGTGAATATATATATCCCAGGGACTAGACCCCAAAGAAGGTACAAAAAAACACTGTGGAGCAACTCAGCAGCAGTCATTGTATAAGACAAGGCTAAAAAAGGGAAGTAAAGAGATGATGAGGGGAAACAAAGGAGAGAAGCACCAGAGAAAGAAAAGAACAGAGAAAAAGGAGGGGGTCGGGGAAGACAGGAAACAGGGCCTCAACAACACACCCTCAAAAGACCTGGAGGTAGAACCTAATGAATCGTATCCAAAGCATCGTGCTGGAGATAAACAGGTATCTACAGGCCCAACAGTTCAAATGGACGAGGCCCAGCCTTATTGAGATGCAACAGGGGCACACAAATCTTGAAGGGTCAAAGAGGAGGAGAAATGGAGGCAGACTGACCATAGTAGTTTATGTTTATCATAGGTGTCATTGGCAAAGGCCAACATTTCTTCCATTCGCATAATATCATTGATTGCAGAAACCCACAGAGGTACAGGGGGTGTGGTGGCCTTCTTCCAAAAAAGGGATATCAATTGGCGAGCCACAGACAGGAAGAAACGCAATAAACACTTCTTCTGTGCAGCCAGCGGGCCTGGTAGTATAGAGAAGAGAGCAATCTACGGTAAAGAGGTCAAGGACTCACTATAGGTTTTATTATAAATATCAAAGATTTAATGCCGAAAGGGTCGTATCAGGTCACAATACCACTATATGTGGATCTGAGTACCAACAGCTTTATTACAACGCCAACATAGATTGGACGTGGAAGGAAAAATCTTGTGACGGGAGAAGGGATCTACCAGCGTTATTAAAATGCCCAGTGTGCATGGAGCCTGAGGAAGAACAGAACTAACTCAGAGCATCCCCTAGCTATTGAGTGAGACAGGGACAAAATTATTAAAGACATACAGACAGACAACGCATGTGTAGCATGATGCTCCATGTCAAAAATCTATGGTTTCAATATTAAAACAATTGAGAATCAAGTCCAAAGGGGAGAACATGGAAGAAAAATGCAAACATAATGCAAAACTTGAAAAAGTCATTACTGGTGTCTGATGGCATAGTAGACAGTGTATATGTGTATCTTCAGAGGGGAACCAGAAACATGCATCAGTCCTTCTTACCTCCTTCTAAATAAAGTTCTTCAGAAGGGAAGGCAGCAACACGCACCATTCCTTATTACTTCCCTTTAAATCAGGGTCTTCAGAGATGAAGGCAG